GTACGTACAGTTAATCGCCATCCATGTGCGCATCCATGTGCGCATGATGTCTACAGGGCTCACAGGAGACGGCATCTCTCTGCGGAACGGATGTCGTTGTTTGCACGTCTCGGACACGAAGGCAAGATGAGAGGCGTTGCCCGTTGTGCGAGACAGGCCACCAAAATACCGTGGTTGAGGAGAGGGCGCGGCATAGCCAATTCAACGACCACGTTGACGGCAGGGGCGCGGTAGCGAATTCAGCGGGCAGGAAATCAGAATGGCCAGCATCCATTCCGCGCAAGCGGTGTGGGTGCCAAAATCAAACCCGAAACACAAGTGACGCGACGCATGTCGTCATTTTTTATCCAATCGTTCATCTTCACGTCGTGCGATCACAATCACTTGCATCCTCTTTCTCCACTTCGGGACTCTTCTAATTTACCTCGCATCCCCATTGCCGTCTTGATTGTGCCGGCACTATCATGTCAACCGTGTCTCTGCCGGCATCGCTGCCGACAACACTCGCACTCCCAGTTTTAGATCTCTCGCTCTCTCCGATTCTCTCACGCCCCCCATACAAAATTATTTCTATTGCAGGAAAAGCTTTTCTGTGTTTGCGAGATCGCTCGCTGGGCCTTTTTCTCCCTCCTTCCACTTGCGAGATTGGGCAGATTGGCGTACGAGCTACCATGGAAAAAGTACAGTTGCCCTAAAATGTATTGCGCTACAGTGCAGTTCGAGTCTGACTCGATCACCAGCTGTATCGGTATCCCAAAGTGCATCGGCAAAGTGGGTCCCCCTGCGCGGTGCGCGACGGCAAACCCCAAGAGACAAGCACTCGTCTTTTAGATTCCAATACGGTACCGGTACAGTACTGTACTTTCTGTGCGACAGTACAGCATCGCTACCCCCACACAATACACACGACATGTCATGCTCGAACGATACGATCGCTCTACGTGTGTCCTTCCCGGAGATGTAAGGATTTGGTCGTCCGTAAAAGCTACAGTCAGGATTATACCCATCTGCTTCTTTGGTCCTCCCTCTGACAGGGAGGACCAATGGCACCACCGCCCCATCCTCGCGGTGCGCCATTCTTCATCATCTCGAGACGGGCAAGTGCGTTATCAACGGCCCCGCAGGGCTGGCTTTAGTGCCCATCAAGTCTTTTTTTTTCTTCCATTGACGAAATCCGAACCCCTTGTTTCGGACCCGGGGCAATCATCAGGGCTTGATCTCACTCTCAAGAGTGACATGCAAGCGAGTGGCCTGACCTAATATTTCGGACCAGAGTCAATTTTCGTTTGTTGTGAACAACTTGTGCTGTCTTGCACAAACAGTATATTAAAGAGTCACAGGAGGAAAGTTGTAATCATCGACCCAATTCTGTGCAAGTATACAAAAACTTGTCACGGAAGGCGCTCAAACTGCCCATCCCACCATCCTGCTGCCTATGTAGCGTACACAAACACTGTACTGTATAAGAAACATCGTTTCCCAAACGGCAGCGAGCTTGTCGAGGAAAACTTAAACGGCAAATGCCTTCGCCAAGATTAACTACGTAAGGGTACCCTTGGTACTGTATGCATCGGCAGATCCAAATGCAAGAAGCCGCAAAATAATGCCTTCTGCGTACATCTCGAAACTGTACCCTCTGTTCAATATGTTTTGTACTGCCCGCCGTGCAACAGTGAGAGTCATCATGCGATAGGTTTGAAGCGAGCGAGTCACGCCTCTCCACCATACGTATTCCATCCAGGTGTACGCCAAACGCGTACTGTACTCTTCTGAAGGGCATCTCTGCTTCGACCGCACAGCTGTGTGATGCTATGGAGAAGAAGAGCAGGGGACAGGCAAAGCTCTCTAGGCAAGGGCCGGTCGGATAGACACTACCAAGGGTACATGTAGATAAATTCTTTCTCGAAAGTTGTCGTTTTAGAGCGGGGAACGCATAGTGACGACAAGTCCGGCAGATCGCAGTACAGCACGATAGTCTTCTGATGTACAGTATCACAATGCTTTCGGACAATCATGCGTGGCGCGGTACCCTACAGCATGGTCCAGCGCAAAACATGCCGTGTACTTTTTTTCCCGCGCTCGGCACACCGTGCGTCAATCCTTCACCGACTTTTGCCATTGCAATTCACCCGCGATGCCAATTGCATGGGTACAGTACCAAACTGGTCAGGAACGAAATGCTCCCAAACAGCGTTCGTGTGCAAATCGGATGAAAGGAATTCTGCTTTAGAAAGCCTTTGTGCTGCAAAACAAAGCAGGGTTGCTTTGCGACAAACAAAAACCGTAGCACTACGGTACAGTAAAGTTTTACAGGCACTCGTTTTTCACAGAGAAGACCTTTTGGTACAACACGTCCTCATCAGACCGTTCTCACCGATATATCTTTACTAGTAAATCCCTGTCATCCGCCAGTCCGCCGTCAATGACGTCAATGTCAATAATTATTACGGTAGATGTGAATCTCTCACCATTTTCTGACGTCGGAATTACTCTGTGTTACGAAACTGCTTACGTAGCTGTTTAAGCGGGGGTTCATTGTGCTTTTTCAAGCCCAAAAGCTATCCTTCAAAATTCATCCCCGTGAACCCCCAATGAGGCAACGTATGCCCAGTACAAGGTTACGTAAGCTATACTGTTGCTGTAAACAACGGTATCCTCCGATCAGGGCTTTAGATGCGTTAGTGTCGATGGCGACGATGTTAACGTCGTAGTCGATGTGTCTCTCACGTACCCTTCTGAGTGGTACCACAGGGGGAGCAGAAAATAACTAAACAAATTTGGTTCTTCCTGTTCGAAAAGGATCCAATTTCCAACTTATTTGGACAGGTCACCAGACGGACTTGCAGTCGAATTCAAGAGAGGAGCAATAAACAGAAATTCAGTTGGATCATGAGAGCTTAGATCGCCAAGCGAGCCTGAATGAAGACGTTAACAGTTGCATCACTGAACTGGGCGGCGGAGGGGGAGGTATCTTAGTTAGCCGTTCATTGTTTTACGTTCATAGAAAGTGGCGGATTCTGGATACATTTTGAGCGCCAGAAGTTGTTCCATACCGCAGTACAGTGAATGAAGTTATCGAACTTGTGTGTCGTAATTACACATCTCGAGTGTAGAGGTTCTGTGGCTCTCTGTGATTGTACGCCCCATATCATCCTGCTCATTCGTTCTGCTTCCACTAAAAAAGGCGCTAAAATCAAAAGTCCCCTTCGATGCGCTTTTGGATACTTGAAAATGCTTTCAGTGTAGGGGAGAGGGCTCTGCATCACTTGACAATGCTCTTGAGATCGACGCCTGAAGGTGAAATGCTTGTGACCCCAGCCAGGATTACGTTGATATCGTCGTGACACTGATTACGTCAGCCTTCGCGACTTCCGAACAAGTGGAAAACATGGAGGGTTTTACTGTACAAGTAGTCATCGCCCCGGCGGTCACGATCCTTCCATTGTGCTGTAGGCAGAAGATGCCACCGGGAATCAGGCTTTGGCAGTGGAGTTGCTGCCGATGTTGCCCCAGAGTAAACAATATTCGAAAAGCCCTCTGCTTCCAGAAGGATCTCCCCATAACGGTGCGCTTGATAGACACAGAACCGTAATTATGTCTCCTACTGCAGAAGATGAACTACAGGACGGCATTGACGTCTCTCAATGTTGAATATGGCAACACTTCAAGCATTTTAGTAAAACCAGCGATCCGAAGAGCGAAGCGTGTAGACCAGCATTTTGTCCCACGCCAAACAAACACAGGTCGAAGAAGGAGATCCAGGGGTCAGGATCCTAACGACGCACTGTAGCTTGATGTCGTTGATTCTCGAATCACATCATAAGGTATAACGCAAAAAGTCACGGCAGAAGTACTGTACAGTGTGGGTAAGCACGGTGCCAGCCAGTAATTCTTCTTCCAACACACCTGATGGACTCACGCATGAGAGAGAGAAAGGTACCACAATGCCATCGAGGACGAAGTTGTAGTGGGTCAATATGGAGATCGGTGCGCCAGTCCCAACGCACAGACACACAGGGCAGCAAGAGATGAAAGTCCACTGTGGCAGTGCTCGACCACTTGCCGGGAGAGAAGGATAAAATGGTCCATGATGCCGCAAATCGTGCGTTCACCGCGGTGGGCTCGGTAGACCTCTTTACCGCTTGTGCAGGGCCTAAATGTACACCCATGTGGTAGTAATTCAGTAACAAACACTAATTCGATCATGTCTTGGGTATCCATTTACGAAACGTTATGCCCTTTAAAGAAAGCAAATTTCGTAGGCTGCGATCGCATTGGGATTCCGTCAGATTGTGCCGTCTCGGCGTACCGTAGAACAAATTCTCAAGCGTGCGTAAACACGCACAACCCACGCACCAAAACAAAACAAAAAATTAACCACAACGGAGTGGCCGTCTCCGCCCTTTCTACGTTCAGAATAGTATTGCAGCATTTTCAAGTGCTCTACACGATTAGATACTCACTCCAAAGATGCTATAATGCCCATGGGGAAGTGAAAAAGAACGGGCAGCATTTGGCAGACCAGAGCACTGGCACTGTTCAAGCATTATCCAACTCGCTTTGTTTTGCACGCTTGCGTCCTGCACGACTGAAAGGACCGTGCGTTTCACCACGATTGTGGTGATGTCGATGTTTCGTTTACAGCGGCTCTGATGACGCGAACCTTCAAATGCTTTGTTCGAACGATTGTCATTTGCCATTGACGCCGAGTGACAAATACCGTATGATGTTCTCCTCGGTTGCGTTCCCTAGCTGGCTAGCTTTTATGTGATCTTCTACGAATCAAACCCCACAGGATTGTAGAACATTTCGATCAAAATTCTGTTGGTCGAACAGTACACTTCGCAAGCAACAGCACTCCGATGTCTTCATGCGCGAACGTTCATTCAGTCGAGAGCTAGCCGCGTGTGTGACTATGACCGCTGTGCTGCCCAACACACACACACTCTCATTGTTCTGCCTCAACTTTTGTTGTGCACAGTACCTCTTTTTTTATCACGTTATGTTATCCCGCCTACCTTTCCGCGTTCCCCGACAACTTTGTTCAAAGCGAAGCCAACACCTTTTCCATCAAAAGCATTTGAAATCTCCTCAAATTGTTCCAGCGTCTCTGCTTTACACATTTGCGTCGTCCAGTCGCCAGGCAAGCCTTCATACCCGCGCCAGTACCACGCAAACCACTTGCGCATCGACTTGAGCGCGGCGAGCTCATCGACTTGATCAGCCGCCATCCAATCGACGGCCTCTCTGACATGTTCCATCATTGTATCGCGCACCTGCTCAAACGGAGGCACGGTAATCGTATTTGTCCTTCCCGTCTCCAGTGCTTCGCGAAGATCACGGAACAACCAGGGGCGCCCCAGACAACCTCGACCGATGGCCACGCCAGCGGCGCCAGTCTCTCGTAGCATGTCGACCGCATCCTGGGCCGTGAAGACGTCTCCGTTGCCGATGACTGGAATGTCCAGCAACTGCTGCAGATGGCGTATGCGGTCCCAGTTTGCACGGCCAGCGCCCTTGGCATACAATTGGTTTGCCGTGCGCGTGTGAAGGGTTATAGCGGCGACGCCGCAATCCTGGAGCACCTGCCCTGCACGGGCATAGGTCAAATGGGACGGAGACAGACCGGCTCTCATTTTTGCCGTGACCGGGACTCCGTACGGGGTGGCGACGGTGACAGCGGCGGATGCAATTTGGGCCAGGACGTGTTCGTCGGCGGGGATGGCAGCACCGCCGCCTCGTCGCAGGACTTTGGGGGCGGGGCAGCCGAAGTTGAGATCGATGTGCTTGACGCCGTGGTGGTTTATCAAGAAGTTGGCGGCGGCTGCGATGTTGGATGGGTCCGTGCCGTATAGCTGAGCTGAGCGGAGGTCTTCGTCTACGCCGAAGCGGAGGCGGGTGGTTGGTTGCCCGGATAAGAGCGAGGAGGCCAAAACCATTTCAGAGACGTAGAGGGCGGCGCCGTGTGTGCGACACAGCTTTCTGAACGGGTAGTTGGTGACGCCAGCCATTGGGGCGAGGACGACTGGAGGAGATATTTGGAGGTTGCCGATGTGGAGAGAGGAGGGAAGGGTGGAAGGGATATCTTCTTCTACCCTTCCCTCTATCACTGATGGGGCGCTTGCCGCAGTACATTGTGCTAAAGCGCGTGGAGCGTTACGACGTGTAGCAAGTGAATGGAGGAGGGGGGTCGAGATGAAAGCTGCGTGCTTGGTCATGCTGAAGTTCGGGATGCCACTAATGCCACTAGACAATGAGGGCGGTCACTCACACGTTGTTCCGTGCATGACTGACTACTGTATGTGTACGTGGTGTGTGGATGTTTTGTACGCAGCGAGCTGGACGGTGAATTGAGTTTGCAGGCTGTGCATCTGCGGGGGGAGGGCGGAATGAAAACTAAGCTGCGGCGGCGGGTAAAGCTTCTGCTCGAAGCAATCTTGTGCATGGGCGGCGGATGAATGTGGATGATACGTATACGGTATGTACCGAAGGGTAGCTTGTGCCGGAGATCAAGATGGGACGGACTGGTGGGAAACATTACGGGGGCGGGATGGGGGGGACTGGTGAATGAAATAATTTAAGTCCCATGCAAGATCTCAAAAAAAAGCTGTGCCTCGCACGGGTAAAATTTACCCGTAAAACATCGACCACAGCCCACAGGGGCACAGTGTGCCCGGCACACAGGGCACAGGGGTTGTGGGGCTGACGCCTTGTGAGCACAGGAAGCGTGATCCTCTGGCGACCGGTGGGCTCCGCGTGATTTTGAGCACGGGAAGCGGGATTCTCTGGCGAACGGCGGGCTCCTCAACGCCGGATCCAGCACGGGGAGCGCAAAAAAAAAAAAAGAAGCGATGCGGCACGACAAGGTGGCCTTCCTGACAGCGGCACCGCTGTCGCCGCTGCGGC